GGAAGGAGATGCCAATAGAAGTGGTGACCTGAGAGGACAGAAATGGGCTTAGGAATGGATATGGTAATGGAGCAATCCAAAGATCTTGGCTATGTCAGGGATAAATGGMATGACAGGAGGAATGCAGATGGGAGATTCTAGATTAGCTCTGGTGAGAGTGTTGAGCAAAGCAGAACTCTTGAGTGCAGAGGCATGGTGATGTCAAAATGGGGAGAATCAAGGTGATTGGAAATTGGACAGTTTGTCAGAATAAACTTACAGCAGGACCTAAGGTAATTACAGATAGACAGGAGGACAAGGCTTTTTTCCAGAGCCCCAAGCAGAATCCTCTACTATCTGCCMTTTATGAATCTGTTTGACTTAATTAAACACAGAAGCAATATATTTGCAGGCAAGAGATGTTCAGGTTGTGAAAAGGTAATTTACTGTTTAAGGAGAGATATTAAGGAAGAGTCACATAATTTTTATGTTTGAGGAAGTTCAATATTTAAATCAGTCAAGTGTTTGCAAGCTATGAAAAATTTCAAAGGAATGGAAGAAAATACTTAAGCAAAGATTACTGGATTAAAAATGTATTGAAAATGCTTATCAAACATGAAGAGTACACACCAGGTTTACATTCTTTAAGAGTTTGCCTTTCTGCTTCTTTTGTAATCATTGTACTCTAAACTTAGTCATTGTAAAACTAGACTGAAAATATTTTGTAAGTAAATAATATCTAGTTTCTACCTAGATCCTCCTTTAAGATATGAGAGTAGAAATGTTAATGAATGAAACTGACACAGAAATTTTTCAGCACTGATTTTTTAACAAAAATGCAAATACATGGTGCCTAAGCTATTCCATCTACTTGTAATAGGTCCACAGGATTCAGGGCTTCTAGTTACTGTTTTTTTCTGTAACAGAATTTTGAACTTTTGGCATTTGTAGTTTATATTATGGTTTGCTAATTAGACACTTAATGTTCACGTGCTGTTTTGAGAAGTTTTATTTACATAAGTAATATCTTCCTCCTGGGTACTTTCCAACCAAAGCCTGTYCTCAGCTTGATGGCAGACAGGTAATCATAGCCACCAGCTTTCTTCCTGCTGTTTTCTGGCTGATGTTCCAATCAGAGCCTCATCTGCACTGTGATACCATTCCCATAGAATGTCTCTWCTCATTCTTCTTGGATACTGTGTTTCCTCGCTAACTTTGATAGAAAGTGTCAAGCACTTGTGTGGTAAGAAACTGTTGTGCAACAAAATATTTTCATTTCTCAAGAAAAAAAAGAAACATCATAGGACTGTGTCGGACACACATTATTAGTTGGATATTTTTGTTGAATATTCAAAATTGTTACCAAGTTGATATCAGGATTTTTGAAAGTTTGAGTTTGTATAAGACTTCCAAGTACAATTTGTATGTTGTTCATTTGCGTGAATGAAGGGACAAGGATACTCTTAGAATTTCMAGTGAATTATGCAAGTCAAATACAATGTAGCAATCACTATTCTGCGTATTCCTTAGAGGCTTTGGTACAACTCCAGACTCATTTATTGCTTTGTTTAGGTAACTTTGTCTCTATCCATAGGTAGAAACGTTTTTTCCTGGAGAACCTGAGATCATAATGAGTTGGAAAYAACAGAGCAGTGATTTTTAATAATGGTACTGACACTGTAATTTTGATGTGTAAGTACATTTTGGAGAGGTGGTGCTCGAGTTCTCATGGTATCTCACAATGTGAACTTGTATCAGGTATTATTGAAGGTACTTTGAAAATCTTAGCTCACTCCCTGGGACGAATGATGTTTACAATTAGCCAGTTGAATTGCCTTTTGACTGCTTTAATTCTCAGTATTTATTTTTTAAGTAGCAATCAATTAGTTTTCGTAATTGTTATGATGAGTTTTATATTTCAACTTTTCCTGACTGCTCTATTCTAGGCATCCTAGAGGAGGATCATTCATCCGGCCAAACAAGGCAAATTTTGGAGTAGATTTTCTTACTGCARTAAAGGACCGGTATGGATTGAATGATAAGCAAGATGTTCTGCATGGGACAGGGAATACAGTGGTATTTGGAACGAAGGCTGTGGAATTTGTTGGCATGGATTCTGTTGCAGAACAGCAAAGGCAAGTATAATCTATGAATATCTAAGATACATTATTTCAACTGTAAGGAAGTGACTGCCATGCATATAAAATTGTTACATATCTAAAAGCAAGCCAGACTGCAGTATAGTGGAAGAGACAAGAAATATTCTGATTATGGCTTCATAATTTACATGTTTTCAAGTAGGAACTGGGATTATGTCCTGTTTGAGTGCTCACAATCCTCATTCTGGTTTCCTAAAGTAGCAGGTGATGATATCTGGTGAGGAATGAGAGATATATTATCATGATACTGGCAGTCATCATACACATGCATGGTCTTTTTAATATAGATGTGTTTTAATGTTTTCTTAATATTGTACAGTATTTTTTAATCTTTGTTTACTCATATCACTAATTTAAGACTTTAAGAGAGGGAAGGCAGAAAGTCACTGCACTGCTAGTGAAGAAATGTTTCAATCAGTTCATGTCATGTTAATGTACCTGGAAGGGTAAGAAAGGAAGTAACTTAATGATGTGTAATAACTTGAAGTTCTAATGGCTTCTAGCAGTACAGATACATTGGTTCAGTAGGTGGCAGTCTCCTGCTGAGCTGATATTCCATAACTGATSTCCTTTTGTCTCCCACAACACGCTAAGCAGCCAAAAATACTTCTGATAAGTGATACAAAGAATGCCCAAATAACTCTGAACCTCTTGCAAAAAGTATTGAAAGAAACCTTTTAAACTTGGAACTTCTAATTAAATTCCAATTTGCACAGCTATATTTAATCTGTTTTATCACTCTTTATTTTAGTTTTGGGGGATGTGAGAACTGTGGTTCAACCAAACTTATTTTGTAGTAGTGACGTAAAGGCAAAAAATAGAGATGTGTCTGGTTTTGAATGCGAATGACACTGCAGTGTAGTAATCTGCACATTACTAATTTCAAAGGAGAGACATGCATGAAAAGGATGTTATGTAGTTGTAACAACCAGGCATTTATATAACATACCTATTTCTGTTTGAAGATTACTTAACAGAATGTTCTTTCTCATGTAGACAGCTGAACAAACTGGTGGATATCTCAGTGCGTGAGTGTGCAGTGAGCCATGCTGGTCAGGAAGAAGAAATCAGCAGAACATGTGCCAGTATCCTTTATTTGCCATATTGCATGATATCACAAATGAAGTACRTACTTTAGCATGGCAAGTGTTCACTTCAGTGAATGATACTTGTATCCTTTTATTTAAAAATACTTTAAACTGAGGTTTATATTTAGAAGTTTAATGCAATGTTATAAAGTTAAAAASTCAGATGCCTACAATTTTTGAGAGGAAATGCAAATTGTGGGTAAAAATAGAAGTACTGTCATAGTTTGCTTCTGTGACTGCAGTTTCAGAAGGTTCCAGCAATGAGATTTTTTAAAATTTCCCTAGAATAGATAAAGCCATAGAAGTAGAACTGATATATTCTGTACACACTAGAGTTTTCCAATATGTAGCAGATAATGTGTTTAGTACACTGCTTGTTATGGCAATGTTACAAAAATACAAAGCACTTATTATTTGTTCATTTGTAAGGACTGTATGAGTTCCTGTGAGTATGGAAATTRATCTATTTTAGGATTAGTATGGTTAAGCTGTTTTATAAAACTGTAAGCTATTTTCATATCTCAAATCAAAATAAAATTCGCTGTAACTGAGCAGTAACACCACTTAGTGTAACCTATTTCTCTTTATTTGATTCAAAACCAAACCCTAAATCCAATTTCTGAAAAAAAGTAGTTCAGTTTTGAGATAARTTTCTTTTTCTTAACATGAAATTTCAGATATGAGGCATGTAAACCTATCAAAAAATCTGATATCATCTTGGGAGACAGTGATAACAATTGCCTCTCAAATTCAAAATCTGGAAACACTTAATGTCAGGTATTAATATTCATATTTGGGTTTCTCTTCTTTTGGGGTWGGGACAAAAATCAAGGGACTCAGTGTTCAGCTTTCTAAATGTAACTGGATACAAGGAAACTCATTCTAATGGGAGCTAAGTTTATGAATACTTTTGGGGTTTTTTTTAATCTTGTTCTTAAACACCTGCTGTGTGGGCTATATTTTTAGAGCCCTAGGAGTTCAGCATCTGTATAAAACTAAGTTTTGGAGAACATTTTCTTCRAAGTTTTAAGGCTTTACCTTTGTTTTTTATTATTGGTGATATATTCTGAGTSCTCGGGCAAGTGTGTGTTTAGGAGCCCACTTTTGTTTAAACTAAACACTAAACTTAATTATCCATAATTCTTTAACCAAATCTCAATTATCCCAAAACCCAGTCTATTTCTGTCCTAAAATGATACTGATAAGAAACTGATAAGATCATGGTGACAGATCTATGGGAAAATTCCTTGCACAGTGATGACATTGGAAAAGGAAGGAAGATGTTAAAAAAAGCTCCAGTTCAATTGAAACAAGAAAATTCACAAAATTATTTCAAAATAAAGAATATTTCTAGTACATACCTAAACACTGTAACTGGCACATGCCACAGTAATTTTCTGGTGTGAAATAGCAAAAAAAATTAAAACTTAAAAATAGGTAGCATCTTAAACCACCAGGCTTTTAATTTATTCTTATTATTAATATGATGGAAGTGTACTTTTAAAATATTGTAGGTGTTGCATTTTCTTCAACATTTAGCACTGAACAGCTGTTTGCAACCTGGRTGCTATTTGTAAATCTAACTTTGCCTAGAGCATATAATAATTTCTTGTTATCAGCATGCGTGTGAATACAGAGAATTTATTTTAATTCACACAGAATAGTGTTTTCAGTTTTTCAATGTTGAGAAGCGTACTCTAGACTGAAGGGTTTTCAGAAGTCATTTGTGAAAAAAATGGAAAAGAAAATGAGATTGATGCTGGAATCTGATACTTACAACTACAAACTGACATAGTCTGAATTAGTTTTTTGTTGTTTTGACCTTCTGTTTGCTTTAAAAAAATAAGACATTAGAAGGTAAATCTGTTACTGTTTWTTTGTGTGTGTGCATGGAATGTTGGAAGAAGAGTAAAAGTGATTAAGCATCCACCAGCTCTCCATGTGGAAATTTTACTCATAAGTATGTAACTATGAACTACACTGAGGGATTTTTATGAGAATATGCAGGTAGATTAGGCCTTGGTAAAGAAATAAAAGCTTCTCTTTGGGGATGAGTAATGAAAGTGGATTTGAAGACTGCAGATTKGAGAATCTTTTTATCCTTTTTCTTTGCAATGATACTTAACTACTGAGAGTGGGTTTTTCATATCTTTGTTTTACTGGGGTCTGACAGTCATGTAGGCTCTTTATTTTCAGTCAACACTAAGGAGTTTAATCCCAMAATCTGGATTTGTTTCATTTAATATTAATGGAGGTCATTCTTTTCATSTTCAAAACTTAGCAGAAGAGAAAGAGGCCACAGGTGAATAAATATGCATTCTTGAATAAATATGCATTCCTGAAGCAGGAGAGTAAATTAGGAAAGAGTATCTTTGAATAAAACTGAAATATACTTTATTATATTTAAAAATATGTGACATCTTTGCAATGATTCTAATTTGGGGGGGGTGTAAGGTTTTTTTTTTTTTTTTCCCTTTAATATGTAATTCCAAACTAAGGACTTAAACAAACGTGATTATTCATTATGCAAATAATTATTCTTTTTATACAGTGAAAACAAAATGAGATTTCCATCTACATCAACATTTATATCCAGTGCATTTTCAAACTTGAAGATTCTGGCACTTAATCAAACTCAAATAACATGGACAGAGGTAATGAATGATCTTTCCCAATTTTTAAAAAATTTAATATCGTTAGGTTTCTGAGGCAAGGAAAGCACAATAAACATTTGTGCATTATATTATTCTACTGAAATCTAATTGCTGTGGGGTAACTGTATTAGTTACATATTAACTAATGTCCTTCCTACATAATGTAGGAAGTAATATTGGCACAGGAGTCTAATAAAAAACCTTTTACTTCATCCGCATCTGTAAATTGCCAAGTTAAAATAAAGCAATTGGAGCATAATATAGCTTCATGCCCCAGTTTGTCTAAGTGAAAACCTTTTGGTAGTTGTTGAAGATTTACCTGTACTTTCATGCATACGACAGAACAAATGTAAATGAAAGAAAATATTTCCTTATGTTAAGGAATTCTTGTTTTGGTATCATTTTGCATCAGCCGGAGATTGGATTAGTGTCTTGATGATTCTTGAACTGCACAAAGCCTGGTTATTGGCAGCATAGAGTATAGAATAAACAAAGTTCTGACTTGTTGCAGGCACTGAAACATGCACACATTTCAATGACTCTCCCCTAGGATGACATTAGGAATGAAGTCCTGTTGTCAACTCTATTTAGCGATGGACCTTAGATAGTGCATCTCAGTAGTGTCAYGTTTGCTTATAATGGCTAACAAATTCYAGACTATTATTTGGATAGGTCTGATTTTATAGTACTACACTGTAAAATTACATGACTTTTCAGATTTTGGCCCCCAGCTGCTATCCARTAAAACAGTACTTACCAGAACTGGGGTTTGAGTAGAAAGAAGCTTGTTCATTCTCTTGTCTTGCAGCAGGGCTAGAGGAAGGTCACTGCTGTGTTTTTGTTTGGTGTCCATTCACTGCGCTCTTAAACTGCCCATGGGATTTGTGGTGGGATGGTTGATAATCCTTCTATTGCAGCTGCAATATGARTGGAGGGAATGGAAGATTTGAGTGGCTACAAACACTTTAAATGTCATCTAGTGCTCATCAGAGTAAATCTGTGCATTGTGGTGTTTAAAATGTTGGCACCTGCCAGCAGCTGTCCTACATCCCTCCATGGGGTGACCAAAAGGTTGGTTGGAGCCATCACTGCAGGCAGATTAGAGTTCTTCAGCAGTAATTAAGTTGCAGTGAGAAAGCCCCAGCTTACAGCAATTTAAAATTATGTAGCTTTTGCATTTGTTTTTGAAACTCTGCTTTAGCTGATGATTCATCGTTGACCATAAAGACATCTTTAGTTCCAAAATCTGTTTTATAAATTTGTTCCAATTCATTCATTGTAAGTTGGGAGACATAAGCCTGTGCTTGAAAGTGGTGTTCCAGGGCAGCCAAACAAAAGGGGAAAGATGAAGGGATGTACATGACATCAGTGCTCTGTGAACAAACAATTGAAAATGTTACAGCATGAGCTTCAAGAGGAGTTACTTGTAAAGTCAGCTTTTAAATAGAAAATAGTAATGAATATAATCAAACCAAAACAGAAATACACTGATTGTATTGGGAATATCAGAAAGTCTARAAATCCCAGGAATGTTTTACTTAAAATTGAAACAATTTATTGGTGAACAGCATTTCAAAATAACTTGCTGTCATATGTAAGAATATATAGCATTCAAATAGAAGAGAAGGCTTRGATTTTTTTTAATTTGTTCCTTTATTTTGAAGTATTTTTCACAGGAGAGGGACATGTTTAACTACTATGCAATAATACATAGCTCCACACTCAAATGCTTTGAGCATCAGTTTTCAAAAAAAAATTTCATTAGTATATTATTTGCTATATCTAAATACTTGTGAGATTATTAGTATATCAGTAAAAGAGCTTATTACTGTATAATTGTTAATTGATGGTTCAAAACATARCATATAACCTTAAAGAGGGAAAAACGTCTTGTAAAATAACTTAAAGTTAGCAGCYACTTAGAAGTTGAAATAATGCATTTGAGTGTAATGCATTCTTATTTTTTTTCTTATTCAACATTTGACTCATAATGTTATATTTGTCATTCTGTTCTCAAAGTAAGATTTTGTATTTATAATATAATCTACTATTACACAGGGTAAAAGAAAAATCTGGGTTAGAACAGAAGTGCAGGATCGTGCTTCTGACACTAGCAAGTAGAAGCAGGTAGTTGGGAAAAATTCTAGGCAAAGGGTAAGCACATGGTAAGAGCTTCTTAGAAAATAATCTGGAATTGTGTGGCTTTGTGAGCTTGAGACTATATAGCTCTGTTTAATATTTGTGGATATTTTGTTTCATGATTTATGTAACTGTATTAAGAACCCATTTGAAAATTTTGCTATACACATCTTTTAACATCAATTTAACCTTTTTTGGGTTCTGATATTTCTGCCTGAGAATTTCATATAACAAGTCCCAATATAATATATGAAAGTAACTCRGAACAGCTATTCTCTGTTACATGGTTTAGTTCTTGTTTAGCATCTTTGTGCCTTTCCCAATTATACTGTTTGCTTCCTGGGATAAACAGATTAACAAAACTGGAACATCAAGGACTTAGATGGTGACAATTGTTTCTTGTTCTCATCTGTATTTCTTTTGCAATAGCTCTTGCATTCCCATTCTGTTTWTGAGCATCAGTGGCTATTTGTTACAGCCTCCACATCAGCTGTCCACARTGAGCCCCCAGACTTTCCTGAGAGTTAATTCAGTGTCAGATCTGTGAACTTTTGTTTCTATGGAAGATGTTTTAACCAGTAGCTGAAAATTTGGCAATTTGAGTTTCTTGGAATTGTGCTGTGACCTATCATTTAGCAATTTTCTAGTCATTTGGTCAGCCTATTGAGAAGTTTTCTAATACTTCAGTTTTGTGCAGTTTTTCTATTCCATCCATCCATCATAATGCAGKGCTGTTGTGGGGAAGTCTCTGTTACTGAGCACACACCTCATTTCTCTTGAATCTGCAGGTTTCTTGTCATGCTTCTTCATCATTGATAACTACTTTGGTCTTGTTGACATGGGGAAACACCATCAGAATAAAGATAAAATACTGGTGTTTCCTGCTCTTTCTTTGAAACAGGGAAAGTCATTATATCTGTGTTTGTAAGTCTTCATGTGTTACAGATATGGCAGTAGGTTGAAGTTTCATATATTTGGGTGTGAAGCAGTTGAGCTCCGAATCAGAGGCTGCCTCTTGAGGAGATCTCAGTGTTTACCCTTGGTGTGGTATCTACTATGAGACAATAATWCAGACATGCAGCTGGATGGATTCAGGCAGCCATAACAACAGAAAATGGTGCCAAGGAGAGGGATGTTTATAGAGAAGGGGTCAGCTATGCACAAAACCAACTGTATTGGACTGCCCAGATATCTGAACTCCACTGCTTGTAGCCTTCAAAACGTCCTATGAAAACAAGCTTTAGGTGATTGTGCTGTGCATCTGTGTGTCTGTGTTCTTGCATCTTCAAAGCTTTGAATCCCCATGTCAGTTACACCCACATTTTGAAAAGAGATGGGGGCTTAAAAATAATTTATTGTCTACTAATTCCCTTAAAACAGGAATGTAGATGGATGAAAGAGCCCCTGTAAGTTTCTCAACCAAAGAAGTAGCAGGATGAGCTCATGCTTAATTTATTTGACTCTGGAGAATACGCATCAGGAAAAAAAAACTCAGTGAAAAGAATAATTTGCCACTCACAGGCACAAATTTGTAGAAAAGCAGTCAGTTCCAGTACTTATGGAAATCCATTGCTGAAACTGTACAATTGCATACAAAACTATTTTATGCCAGCAATTTATGATGCTTTGTAATAAGTGTTTGTTTTTAAAAATTTTGTTACCTCCCGTAAATATTGGCTGACAAAAAAACCAGTATAAAGTAAAATAGTATCTTTTGTGCAATTTCAGTGCATAAGATCTGAAACAAAAGTATCTGTTAAATTTGTAGCCCTTTTAAAATTAATTTAAATTAAATTAAATTAATTAAGTTTTCTTTAGAGAACTTGGAAACTTCAGGATATATGTTGAATTACTGCAATTCCTGGCTTTTAGTARGTTTATGGGCTGGCACAGTCCCATGACCGAAGGCTTCAAGTTCTGATAAAATATTAAAAATATTCTCTCAGACCTGATRGAGATGTATGTTAGCTTGTTCTGGAACTTCTGCACATATATAGAGTTTGTACAGCCATTTCCTCCCCTCRTAGGGAAAACCTGGTCACTCCAACTCATTTAAATTACCTCGGTTTCCAGSTCACACAGTTTCAGCTGGAGGATGGCCTCAAGCTGCGACTATAAGCCCTGTGACTGCAGAACCCCTTTGATGTCATCTGTGCTGGTAGATCCAGGCACAGGAGAGGCATCTGGAACAAAGGGAATACTAGGAAATCTTTAATAATAATTTCTCTGGTTTGGGGAGCTACAGCTTGTTCTGAACACGTTCAGACCAAATTTGCATGAAGTATAATTTCTGAAATATTTTTTTCGCATCTTTTGTTATATTAAATAAAGTTTTGCTCTTAGGTTCTTCTTTGTGCTCAAGGATGGCCAGTGCTTGAAGAGCTGTACCTTTCTTCTAATAATATTACTGTTTTGGAAAGGTGAGTAACATGTCTGTTAGTTTTTAGTGACTGATGTACCACGACGTTACATAGTACATAACATTCCTGTAACATTTACATCAGCACCACAAAATTGGAAAATAATTGAAGCAAACTTCACATGATGTACTTCAAACCATTCATAAATGTGCACAACTGGGTGCATGCAATTGCATACTTAGGAAAAATAATGTTTACATTGGCCAGTAACTGAATATTCTGTGTTTGTGTTTGTTTTTTTTCTCTAATGTATCAGGCCTGACAATGTCCTGCAGACCCTGAAGTTGTTAGACCTTTCAGACAACCAATTACTGGATGGAAATCAGCTGCATCTAATAGCACAGCTCCCCAGGTAGCTGCAAACAAACTTGCTGGAAATTCTTTGTCCTGGATATTCATCTCCATAGTCTTTGTGACTGTAATATGATAGTATTGGTGTTGCATGAATGATTCATGAGATCTTGAAGTAGAGGCATTTTGCCCTCTTGAGGAGAGTAATTGCATTATTTAGTTGAGCTATTTTAGTATAACCTTACTTTTGTTATATAATAACACATTCTTAAGCTGTGTTTTATTAGGTCTTCATTACACACTTATGAAATGAAAGTGATTTACCACATTTTGTTAATTTCCAGAATTATCGTCTTTGCTATACAGCAAAATAGCAGCCATGATTTTCAATAGCCACAAGCTATTTAAAAAAAATCATTTGGAAAATCACACATTTTAAATCCTGGAGCCATTCTGAAAGCTTGAAATTGTTGCACTTACTCACTGACAGTTTTATTCCCTGAACACTGCTGAAGTCTGGGTACTGTCTGTGAGGCTGGTTTTGATTTGTCAGTGATTATGCACCACATCAAAAGTTGCAGATCTTTATTTAAAAAGAAAAAACATCAGGTTGCATTTCTTTGCAAAAAACTTCCTGTGCCACATACAGATCACTGTGTTTATTTCATTTCAGATTAGAACAGCTAATACTTAGGAACACTGGGATATCTTCTATACACATTCCTGATGCTGGATTTGGTATGTAAAAGAACTAATTTATTTATAATTTTAGAATTCTGTTTCTTTAAAGTTTTCATTGTTTTCTTGTTACTCTTTTCCTAGGATGCAAGACTAAAATGTTTCCTTCACTAAGACGCCTTGCAATAAATGACAATAAAATATCAGAGGTATGTTGGATTGTGATAGTTTCACATTTTGTAAATAAATGTATCATTGTTTAAGAGTTACTTGAAGTTTGCTTTTTGACATTTTCTTTGTATGTGTAACATTCTGAAATAACTGTTGGACACTTTCATCAACATAGAGGCATAATTAAAAAATGTTAAACCATTTCTTAACATGTCCATTAAACATGTTTACGTTATGGCAACTACACATATCACCTGCAACCACATAATTCCTCTGATAGAATTCTAATTRTCTAAAAATCTGACTTAATTTCTTGTTTTGTTTTKTTTTTTAATTAAATGTAGTGCTAAATGAACAGGATCCAAGTACTTGGTTCTGATGATCAAAAGAGTAATTCCAGTCATGTTCACTTTGACAGGAAAAGTCGGTGTTACCAGGTATTGTTCTGAAATGAAGTTAYGTTTTATGTTTCCTCAAAAGAGTCTTCCCTTCGTTGCAGTGGTCATCTATCAAYGAGCTTGATAAGCTGCCAAATTTGCGGGCACTGCAGTGTAACAATAACCCCTTCATGGACACAGAGAAGAACCCAGAGACCCTGAAACAGCTCATTATTGCCAAGATAAGTCAGTTGGAGGTTCTGAACAACTGTGAGGTATGTGATATTTCAACAAATTGCATGAGTCTGGCAAAACCATTAAATCACTACCTGAGAAACTGTTTTCAGTGTCTTTTAAGGTTACTGGTTGTATGGGTGCAGAAGAGTAAAGTGCCAACTAGKCCATCTCCTTATCAGTGGGGCAGTMGGTAGGGCTACAAAACTGAGCCCTCTTTGTGAGCATTGCTAACTCAGTGTGGGGGCCTGGACAAGGTGGATCAATGTTTTTTTTCCCAGTGCCCAAGTTATGTTGAAGTTGCACAACTTAACAAAAATAATATTCTTAAAATAATTTAAGAATATTTTTATTAAAAAATTATTAAAATTATAAAAATTAAGAATTATTAAAATTTAAGAATATTTTTAAATAAAAAAAATTTATTAAAAAAATTAAAAAAAAATTTAAAGCAACGTAATCAGATCTGTTTCAGTGGCAGCAATAGCATTTGCCTTCTGCAATGGCAAAATATCATTACCTAAACCAAATCAAACTTTCAGCAAATGTTTATCATAAAGGAGAGCAGAAGCAGCATCTGATCCATTGCTGCAAGAAGCATCCTTGGGCCATCATATACAGCAAAATCTTTGCTTAGATATTCATTTATGGCTCAGTACACAGACATAGGGGCTGTATGATTCTTAATGGATCTAAAATGTCCTGAATATATGGATCAGTCAGTATTTGAGATGTGGTTTGTAATTATCTTGGTAGCTTTAAAACATACTGAATACTAAGTAAGACCAAGGAGTCAGTGTCATTGATTAGATTTTATTCTTGGAAAGTTATTTAATTATATTATGTGCTATTCCTGTGTCAGTACAGATCCTTCCTGCTGAAAGAAGAGGAGCAGAGCTTGATTATCGCAAAATATTTGGAAAGGACTGGTTAGAAGCTGGTGGGCATTGGGACCCAGAGAAAAACAAACCAAGTGAAGAATTTCTTGCTGCCCATCCCAGATACCCAGCACTTTGTCTTAGTAAGTGCAAGCACAGTACAATAGCATTTCCTCACTTCTGGCATTATGGCAGCACTGGTTTGGTCTGTCTTCAATTTCTCTTGCCCTTGATGCTTTTCCCGTGCGCTGCTACAGCCTTAGGAAAGCCCATCCATGGGCTGTGTGCTAGTGGGCTTTTGTTGCTGTGGAGTGGCTGCACAGCTCTGCACCCTTTGGGGCACTGCTGCCTCAGGCACTTGGGCTCCCTGCCTTAGCGATTCTGACATCTGTGAATGCCTGCCCCACCACTCTACTGCTGAGCAGGCAGTAGCTCTCTCCACCATGTGGCTTTTTGAAAGTGGGAATGTTAAGCAGCACCCCCATGTCCTGAACGTTGTAGCAGCTGAACAAGGCTCGTGTCTGCAGCACTGTGAGGTGCAGGAGCTACCACATCTGTAGGGAACTCTTGCGTGATCCTACACCACAGTGCTCTTAGGTCTTGGATTTTCATATTTGAAGGGTTCTACATGCACTTTTCTTCCAACAGAATATGGAGCACCTGAAGAAGGAGAACTGAAGGGACAACAGCCTTTGACTCTGAAAAGTCAGCTTCTGAGTAAGAAGCCAGAAATGGTCAAAATGGTTCCTTCCGAATTTAGAATATTTCATGAGCTTAGTATCTCTTAGGTATATATGGAGAACAAAACATTCAAAAGTTCCAGCTGGTAATTCTGCTTTTTTGAACTGGTTCAGTGGGTTTGACTGGATACCTGCTTCCGTGCACTCTCTCTCCTTTCCCCCCCTCAATCCAAGCTGAATGATTTTAATTGAGATTTAATGGAGAAAGAGGTAATTGAAACTCCACTCTGACAGTGTGAATGGCTTCTTTACAGAAGACATCTGAGGTTTTAATCTCAACAGCTGCATTGTTTTCTGATATTATATTCTTTATAACTTCTTAACTTTAGGATAGACAAGAAAAATATGGGTAGCTTTGAGATTTGGGGCTGTCTACATATTTAGTCTAGGTTACATCCTAAACTTGGAAATTCATGAAGCTGTTTCCCAGCTGATAGAACTGGAACGTTTTACTCTATGGGTAAAATACTATTTTAAAGCATTATATTCTAATGTATTTAGGTAGAAAACTAAACAGAACAAGGAATCTTGCTGGCTAGACATAATATAAACCTTTTTTTTAAGGATAAGTCTTTTAATCTCTGTAAAATAATTAGGCTAATAATGTCCTCAAAAAGTCTTTGTATGGTGCTTTTGAGAGGACCAAAAGCCTGTTTTAAACTGAATAAGCAATTTCCCTTCTCCTGCAGGCTATTTTTAAGAAATAAAATAGAAATGAAGCATTTTAAGGTCCTACTCCTAGGACCAAAAAATCCTATCTTTAAGCATTAGAGAGTCACTTCCACAATAATTAACCAAAGATTAATAAAAACTTGGTTATTTTAAGAAAAAATACAGAAAGTTTTTAAAGTTAATTAGTTTTTCAGATAATGACTAAATCCTATCTTAACTGCTCAGTTGCAGGCTACATCCTAATTTTTTAAGAGATCAGGTTGAGCAAAGGAAAACAATTTCTAATAAAAACAGACAAGAAAGACTATGTTTCTGCCAGAACAGGGCTTATTGTTCTTTCACTAACACCTCACCCTTCTTCCTTAAGCTTTGACAATTAAGTGTCCTGAGAAACCCGAACAGAAGCCAGTAGAGAAAAAGCTCCCAGGTAAGAAGTCCTGGCTTATGTTCAAGCAATTTCAAATAATTGTGTTAAAGAATGGCAGCTCTCTCGGGCTTGTCAGCTCCTGAAGCTTTTTCCTCTGTTATATAAAGAAATGATAAAGGCAAAAATTGTTTGAAAAAGTCATTCTTTTTCTGGCCTTCAGATTACTTTCAGTCTAGATTGAACATTGAAGCTGCTTATGACCTCTGCTGCTAGTTTCATGATTAATGTGTCTGAGGCAAATAAAGGCCAGTTAATGGTGGATGTGTCAACAAAGTAACCAGAATGTGAAGTCTTAAGAGGCAACTACATAGTGTGTAAATCTAGAGATTGAGGTCTAGTGTCTAATACATGAAGTTAGAAATCTAGTTCTGACTTCTATCAAATTTGTCTTTTGAAGTTTTAGTGTCTGTAGTGAGACCAGAATGAGTTAAGACCATTCTAAATTAAGCTGATGTTTTGGAAAGATGTGTCAGAATGAAGTCTGAAAGAAAAGACATACTCAAGTTTTATTCTAAAATAAAAATCACATTTATTATCACAAATTGCATAAAATCAGATAGATACAGCTTTTACAAAAATGTTTGATAGAAAAATATTGTCTAAGTACAATGTGTGGTATTACAGGAATAACTCACTATTGTGTGCCTTTAGATAAAGCTTCAAAGGAAGTGAAAGTTCAACCAAAATACTGAGTTTATCTATTGCAAACACAGGTATCGCCTCTGGAACAAACTACATCTACTCATTCAAGATGCATTACAAAAAATACCCCTTCCTATAATTGACTTCATAATATAAACACCTCTGCTGACAATTTTTTGGGGACTAATAATGCAATACCATTCCTAAGAATGTTACTAGTTCCACAGTGCCAATTCCTGGTAATGAAAACTTCAAGGAACAGTTGCCAGATGCAGGCAGTCAGAACCTGACTGGTGGGCGTCCCAAAGGTCACTTAGTTTAGCATATAGAAATACAAACTCAAAAAAGGTAAATTATGAAGCTGTAACACTTTAATTTGGTATATGGGATCAAAGCTTCTAAACTGTAGTAGCACATCCTGCCCTATCCACCACAGATTAAGCTGTTTTCCATTTGACAGTAGCAGATATGGTTTCAGGTACCAAAAATGTTATTGCAGTGTTAGAACTGAAGCAGCAATGCAGCCTTTCACTGTTGCTATAGGCAAGTAAAGTGAAACACTAGTACTTTGCTACAGCTCGGTGGCAGCAGCATTTTTCTTACAACTTTTTTTTTTCTCTCCCCTCAACAGAGTCTATGACTATTCAGAAGGTCAAAGGACTGCTGTATCGCCTGTTAAAAATTCCTGGTTCAGAACTGAAACTGTCCTACGAAAGTTCTAAGGTGAGTTAAAAATGGATATTCAACAACAAAATACTGGTGGTGCTAAAGGTCAATAGTATGTTCTAAAATACTATCTAAAGAAATTCATTTCACTTCAGGAGGATCGTCTTCATGCCGTAATTTAGGACCTAATTTCATTCCTGTAATACGATATATTCTCCCTGACTGCAACTGCCTAATATTTGGTTTACGTGAAGGGATTTCCAGTTAAGTCTGATTAGGGTTTTTTTTGCTTTCTTATTCTAGCTGGAAGGAAAAGAAGTTGAACTAGACAATGACTTAAAGCCTTTGCAGTTTTACTCAATAGAAAGTGGAGACTGTGTGTTAGTACGGTGGTAAGAAGGGACTCTCTTGCTGGACTGAAGAAAAAGCTGAACTGCAGAAGAGAGACAGACACATGGACAGCCTGGGCCTGAACACACATATACAGATGAATGTGAGTTTCACACGTGGCACCAGAGGGCTGTGCAACTGTACTTTCAGCTCCTCAACTTGGTCGTCAGCCTCCATGAAAATACCTGCTCATTTGTCTTACTGGAGAGATACCAAATAGTGCTTAAATGTTTCAAATAAATAAAACTCAAAGTAATGCTTTTGCCAAGATTTTATACTGCCTTCCCCCTGCACCAGTGAAAATTTGTTTTACTGAACTGAGTACAGGGTTTGGTTGTGATCTCTCTGCTTGCAAAACAAGATTAGTGCTGCACTGAGAAGCCACTTGCCCTTTGCTTTCACCTACATCCAACAACTTTAAAGTGAGCAAAACCCAGTAGTAATTTTAGGAGTATCTACACAGCCTTAGATGATTAAGGTCGAAATCTGACAGACCTTTCTTCTAGCCTACAGTGTTAACATACCACAGTATAAATAAGTTCTCAGCACACTGCAAGGCATTGCTATTTATTTTACAATCTTTAGTGTGCTGTTCCTTACTCTTATTTTACTTTCACTTGTGTAATCTCAAATTTATATCTAGTAATGCAGTGAGCTCTCAGAAATCCCTCATGTTTGCAGTACTTGAAGATTTGGTATAAGCAAACGTCGATTTTGTTTTTTTCTAAAATTACAGTGGTATAAACAAACTAATCACAAATCCTATCCCCCACTGCTGTCCCCATCCCTACACAGATGAGGGCAACCCCTCAGACAGCACAGAACCTGCTGCAGCAAGGCTTACCAGCTGTCCTGGTGATGAGCACAATTCTCCATGGTATCCTGGTATGGCCCTATACTGAGTTAAATCAGTAGTGCTTTAATTTACAAAAGACAGGCTAGTTGGCATTCTTATGTGCATTTATTAATTACAAGTAGGTCTTTTACTTTATATAAAAAGGAATATTTTTATCTTGAATATTTTGGTTTTTGTCAGATTAACATCTATACTCTAGAAAATGAATAGTATCAGTCCATTTGTCATTATCAAAAGGGTGTGAAAATATTGTTATACCTTAGTTGAAACCCAACATTAAAAGGTACCTTGATATTTCTTACTGTTCCAGGAATGAATCCAAATGTACACTTTCCCATGATCATTATACACTACCCTGTTTTCCAAGGCAAGTTCATCATCTTTCTTCACATCTACATGGATCTCCACACAGTTCCTTTAATCTCCAGAGCTCTCCCAGTTCCTGGGGAGAGTACTGGGGGGAAGACAGCATGCCACTCTCACATGTCTTCTCACACAACCAGAGACCATCCTGTTGGGACAGAGAACCATTTCAATAGTTTTTCTTACAAAGTATTTTGTCTCCAACAATCTTCATTTCCAAGAATCAGTTGTTTACTGTTTCCAGCAACAAATATTGCATACAAACGTCCCCAGCTGATATCATAGACGTCTGCAGAGAACTCAGGGTCTGCAATTTTGTGAGTTTTCTTTTAAACACATCTTTAAAAGAATTTTTCCTCTGGATTTAATTAAATGATTGTTTCAATTTCTTTTTAAAGGAAAAACATTTCTCCTATTTTATGCTACTTGCAAGAGCAGGCATGTCCTCTTTCTGTAAGATCAGACAATTCCTTCAGACTTACTTGATATCGCTTGGGTCCTACAGCTGCCATCCAGATGCCCATGCTCACATCTTCACCCTGAGTTGACCATTAAAATAAAAAATACAAATATTAGCCCCAAGAAAGCATAAAGCATGACTGCAACCTGGAGTAAGTTGCATCATCAACCAGCAGTAAAGAATGATAGTTACAAAAACCTRCACCTGACTATTGCAAAGGTGTTAAAATAATACTCCCAGCTTGCCTGTGATAATTCACTATTCTTACAGAGTACCAAAAACAAGATTACAGCTCCAGAGATTCTCAGTCCAAAACTTCTGTGCTTTGACTGCTTTGACCTATAACAGACATTAAGCACAGCAACCAAAAACATGACAAAGGCCCACATTAGCCAGGAGAACCCAAAAATGACATTTGAGCAATGGTCTTTCCAACTCATCCAGTAAATACTCTTTCCCAGACCATTTTAATCCAGAAAAACTGAACTAATCTCTATTACCTGGTACGTTTTTAACCTTTCCGAGTTGCTTGCCAGCCACTGCACAATGTCTTTGGAGATGATGTAGCCAGACCCACAAGCAAAGGCTGGATATGCAGGACTTGGGTACTCCAGTTCTTGCCATTTCCCCGTTCGATCAACTGCCCAATTTAGTCTGAAACTGAAGACCAAATTAGATACGAGACGTTTAAAGAGAATTCTCTGTGGAACCTATGAACACTGCTAAAAACTGAACTAAAAACAAACAATATTGAGAGGAAGAAATAGGTGATCCTAATTATAGTTCCTAGTCTTATTTCTCTAGGGCACACATCTAATTGAACACAAAGCTAAAATTGTAACTGTTGTTTGGTCTCAATTTTGGATAATAAGAGAATGTCCTCAGAATAGAAACAAAAGCAACATCGACATCAGGTCTTCAGCATGTGCACCTTGCTGCTGGATTTTGATCCAGGTCAGCACTTGCATCCTTACCTATGTTTTGTAACAGGCACATCTGTGTCCTGCTAATTAACCCCTTTGGTTAACAAGCACTATAGCAGTGCCTCCAGCAGGCATGCAGATAGTGATGTTATGCAACCCATTTTCCTGATAAAACTAGTGACTTAAAAATCAGGAAGCACTATGTACCTTCTCCTGGCTGTTTCCCAAATGGAACTCAACAAAGCAAATGTTCAAAGGTTGACATCCCTGAATTATAAAAAAATCCTTCCTGGCAGGGGTGCTCTTTAAGTAAGGCTTTATTCACTGCTAGAACTGCTGAGTGAGGCAGTGAGAAGCATTCCACTTTTCCTGTTTGGGAACAAGCTGGTATTGCATTCTCCTGGCCTCACAAGTAGTTTATGCACTCACATCTAAGAGACAAAACTGTGTCAATGCAGCAGGTTCACTCTCTGTTTTACAAAGAAGTTCAGCATTGCTGATTTCAGTCATGAGCGTAAGCAGCTGAAAGGTTCAGTGAGCTAAGAACTGTCACCTCAGACAACACACCTAAAAAGGAGGAATTACAGCTGAGAGGCAGATACGTTATCTGATTCTGCACATTCTCTGCTGAAGCTGACGTGTTAAAGCACCAAGTAAAAAGAAGTCTCATCAGATACCTGAATTCACTTCAGGCTCAGTATCTTCCACTCCACTGAATCACAGCACAAAGAGTTCAAACCCCTCCAGACTGAGAAGCATCTGCTTTGATAATCATTTTATACTTCCACAGTTATTTCAGTGTTGTTCCCTACACTTCACACTTGCCTTACCTGAAGACTGCGGCTATTAGAGAATTTATACTTGAAGATGTCACTCCTACAGATCTTAGAGATAATCACCAGATAACCAGCTGCTTCACACATTCAACCACACACACACCTTATTAAAGTAAGCAACTGGCAAGATCAGATTCGTGAAGCAAAGCAGCAAAGGCCTGTTTTTCTTCAGTAAGCAGATGGCAACAGGAAGGCACATTGTGCCATTATGCTACATTGAATGCAATAGTAGTACAGAATTTCTGCTATATTGTATGTCATACTGGAGCTGCAATGCATTCCATGGATGGGAGGGAAGATATGGGCTATTGTAATGCCCCTGGTTATTCACAAATGTAATAACACAGGCTGGGGAAATTCACTTGAAAAATTCATTAATCAATAGCAAAAATGTGTAGCAAATGTCTGTCATTCACAGAAGTTAAAATAAAGTGCAGACCCTAATGGAAATTCTGTTTCTTCTGTTTACCCCACTTCCTCAAGTCCACCATAAAAATCACAGTGACATCACAAAAAGTAATATTTATAGTTCTAGAGTATGAACTTTCCTTTTAACATCACTTTATTGCTGGAAAAATCTTATTTACTTAAGTACCATGACAAAGTGTCCTTGTTTGAAAGACAGGTATTTGCTAATGAAGGCAGGGACCCCCCTTGGAGTGGTGGCTATGGCCCCCTTCCCTCCGAATTATTACAGCTTTG